CCAGTCACAATTCCTGGACTCATCTGATAATTTATCTTCACCTGTTATCAACTGTGAAGGTAAACAGTGGGTTGTGCACACCCATGGCTGCCTGCTGCATGTATTCTCTAAAATGGAAACACTTTTTCTGTAGTCATTAGCATTGGTGCTCATGTTATTCCTCAGGAGTTTCTCCTCTTATGACTTTTGCATCTTTTTCTGGCTGTGCCTCAGCTGTTTTCAGTCACCTTTCATTCCTCATTGAGTTGGCAATCCCAGTGTTCTTTGGATAAAAGAATCTCATCTACCCTTATCACTCCTATGACTCTTCAAACCTTGGTAAATTCCCAATGGCTTTCACTACTCTAACTTCTCTTCAGAAATCGAGAAGTAGATATGCACTGTCCTATTAGATACGTGGATCTGACTATCCCTTGGACATCTTAAACTTAATATTTCCTTAAGCAAATTCCCTTTTTCTCTGACTCCAAACCTATATTATCCATTTTATTCTTTTTCTCTTCCTCTTTTTCCTCCTCTCTTACCCCACTTTCCTTCCCCCTCCCCTCCTCTTCCTCCTCCTTCTCCTTCTTCCAAGTGTCTTGTTTTTATTGTTCTCAACAGAATGCGCAGCCTGGGTCATAATTAAGTATCTGACTGCACAAAAGAGGAGATAGTGCTTAAATACAAATGGGAGACAGGATATATCATACCCAATAAGATACAGTCTTTAGAAAATTTTCTTAACACCTCAGGTTCTATAAGCATCTGGAATATGATTGTTAATTGATTGTGTCAACTTGACTAAGAAATGCCCCCACTAAATTGGATTAGCATAATCTGGGTGTGCTTGAGGGGATTTACTGAAGTTCTGTTGGGGCTGGGTTTGAGTGACAGCAATCAATGGGCTTGCTGCCTGAATAGTAGGAAAGGGAAAGGAAGACTTCTGTTTCTTTGGAAGAGCTGCCTGCATCTTCAGCTTAGATGTCGTCTCCTGGCATCCAGAGCAGACTCTTCAGCCTGTAGCACAGACATGCAACCTCCACCCCTGACCCTTCAGTGTCCATGGCAGATCTTTGCCTTCCTGATACAGACTCACACGCTCTGTGGGCGGCCATTGTAAACCAATCTGGTAAATACTTACATATTTGTATATCTTGTATTAAATCTGTTTCTCTAGCAAGCACTGACTGATACACGGACCCTGAAGTTTGTGTAGCAGTGCTACCACAGTATAGATTCACAGTGATGTCATGTTCCCCTCTCTGCCAGTAACTGAAACAGTGGCTACAGGCTATCAATGATCCAAGGTGATTACAATGAGTCCCTTTGCAAAAGCTTTTCCCAGCCCTCTACAGATAAAACTGGCTGAGACAAAAATGAATGGAATCTCTTGAAGGTCAGTGGTTCACAATAGTTAAGTTGGTTATGCGATTTTTTGGGCTCTTATTTCTAGTTAGGAGACACACTTAGATGATTTTCTTCAATGTACTGTAGAGGCCAAAACTGACCTTTTTGGCCTCCTGCCCTCATCTCATGCACATCTGCTTTGCAAATCATATGCTTTTGAAGGTTTTGCCTCCTTAGTCTTTGACAATCTTTCCTCAGCAATCTGGGATCTCTGTATATAAGACATTGGCTCTTTTGCAACCCTCCAGGTGGAAGAGTTAGAAGACTTTGATTCTGGACAAATCAACAAGCTCATTACATTGTGCATACTCTTGGGGCCATGGAGCAAATCTTACATCTTTCCCTATCATGAAGTAGGATGATATGCTGATGATGATAAGTTGCAAAGTGATGTTGAAACTGCTACAGGTTCCAGATTCCATCAAAATTGGTGATCTTACCAGTCTTCCAGACCTTGAACATATACTCTGCACCTTATTTCCCAATATCAGTCACCAGAATCCATTTGCTGAGAAGTCCTGGGAGTCAATGAAGCTGAGATAGGATACTCTGGCCACCTGACAGAGGCCAGATTGTTAGCAACATACCTTCAGAACTTATTGCTTGTCCACTTCCCCAGTAACATCAGCACACACTTATCCCTGAAGGCAAACTTGGGGATGTGGACAGTGTAGCATGTGTACTGGTCTGCCATTAGACAACTGGTGTCACATCTGCTACTGGGGTCACATGACTGGGGTCATGATTATCTTGGAGATGGGGACAGCAACACTTCTAGCTAGGAAGTCCTTGGTAATGAGAAGGCCTGTTATGTGATGGAGACAGTGTGGGCAGCAGGGCAGGCAGTTAAGCAAGTAGAAAGCCCAGCCCTGCTTGTGCCAGACCTAGAGGCCTACCCCTTCTATTCTTGAGCTGGGTGATCACCAATTTAATTTACCTGTGTTCCAAATTAGAAACCTTGGTGTCATTCTCACCTCCTTTCTCTCACCCCCCCCAATCAGCTGTCAAATTTTGTTGCTTCTAATTTTAAAGTATCACTTGATTCTGTCTCTCCCAAGCCCTACAGCTATTGGCTTAAAATAGTTCCTCATTATGTCCTTTGAACTATTATTGCAGTAGCACTGTCATCTGTTCCTGGGATAACAGATTTTCCTCATCCACGTTCTCCATGCTGCCATTGTAGGTACTAGGAACAAAGCCTATGAAGTAATTTTTCTCTGTAAAAGCTTCTGTGGATTGTGTAGGCCTCTGGAGTTTAAGCTTTAGCTTTGCTACTGAGCTTTTACCTTTCTGTGCTTTCCCTTAACTTCATGTTCTCTGCACAGGTTCTAGCTTTCTGTTGCTTTGGATTCTCATTACTTCTATTTATTTAACCTTGTACTTTGAGATATGTTACATTTTCTCAAGCTATTCTATTTTCTCCTCTCCATCCTGATTTGCTTGAGAATTTCCTACATCTACTAAAATCAAGTGAAGCATTATCTAGAAGGTGATGACTTCCCAAATTCTTCCGGTTATTGGATAACTGTTCTTTTTCCCAGAGCCCTTTATATTTGCTACCGACTTTGCAGTATTATTGATTTTTCTATTTACATGTTTATATCTCACAATAGAGCGTAAGCTTCTGGTTATTAGTGAAAAAGAATTTTTTGCTCAATTTTGTTACATGAATGCAAAAATTTTCTTCCCAAGATGCTTTTCATATTGCTCTTTCTACTACAACCATACCATGTATCAGCTCAGGATTTAACAGCCACCAAGCTGATTATCTAGACAACATCAGTAAATAATGTAGCCACTACTGAGATGAGCATTTAAAATTTGGCCACTTTAAATCGAAATGAGCTGCAAGTATATAACACATATGACACACAATTGCAGCTTACAGACAAGGTGAAGACAAGAATGCCAAACATCTCAATTTTTGCATTACATGTTAAAGTTATTTTTGGATACTGTTAAAATGTATTATTAAAAAGAATTTCACCTCTTTGTTTTTAGATGTAGATACTAGACTATTAAAAATAAAACAACCTATGTGGCATGTATATTAAAAAAAAAATCAACCTATGTGGCATGTATTTTAGACCCACTGACATTCCTATTGCCCTTCCACCTTTCCTGTGTGCAATTTCTTTCTGGTAGGACTGGCTTTGGCTTTCCTGAATATTTGCAGTACTAAGAATTTCCAGGAGGCAGGGGAATGGTGTTTGTTAGCTGTTACCACTGTACTAACTTTCTCACGAGATCCATTTTTTTTTAACATATTATTTTCCAAATGAAGAATCTGCAGGTTTTTATTCCTGTGAACTGCATTGAGGCAAGACTGTTTTGACTGGCTCCCAAGTCTTCCATAATACTGCTATGCTTGAGTTATCCAGCCTTGTCTCTCATCCACCCTCAGTAGTACCCAGGTGCTCGAGTTTTGTTTTCCAAGTTACTTGAAGCGTTTTTTTTGTGCACGTTCGTCAGTATTGTCCTCTATAACCCTCGTGTGATTTCTGTCTTCATAGCCAACAGGCTTCATAGCCTTAGCCTACCACTTGACATCCCCCCAGGACCGTGCAGTTTAAATTGAAATTTTAGTTCTGAGCATCTTCTTTGCTGTATGCATTGAACTTAATTCCACAAGTATTTTTGAGCCCCTATGCCGAGAACAGGACTAGGTAAGCATGAAGGTCACCTTTATATAGGGCCCAAAGCTAGGAATGGGGTTAGAGGAAACATGCCAGTCGTATTTCTGCTTGTCTAGCGTGGGCCTCACCACCGACAAGGGCTATGTGTGTTCTGCGTACACAAGCCACATATTAGAAACTACTAATAATTCACAACATGCTGAATCATTCAAACTGTCTCACCTAGAGTTCAAACCGAGTGAGCATGGCCTAGGGAGCTCTGAGCAATAATCAAGGGCGTCTTCTTTTCCTAGTTCTTTCTTTCATGAAAAATCACTGTTTATATAGCGTCTTGTTGAAGTAATACTCCCTTGTTTTCGGCTGCTTGGTCGCACTTTCGCCTCTTCCTGGAAGAGCTTATTGCCAGGTGTTTTAAGAACTGGAGACAACTGGCTTTGGGTTTAAATCTCAACGTTTCCAGCAGAGCAGCTCTAGAACCTGGACGAGCTACTGGACTCCGTGCTTCAAGCAGTTTCTGGTAGAATAATCACTCGACAGATAGATGTTTCCTCAATACACTGTTAGATGTCCCCTAAAGAAACTGACCTGCCTACTTCATTCTGTCCCAGTCTCTACCTTCTAGAACAGTGCCTGCTTCCAAACTGCGCATGCAAATCCATTCGATCACTATTATTTTCGTACTGAACAATACTGCCGATGTTTTGGAGGCAAAAACAAAAGCAAGAACGGAAAGGAAAGCGAGCTTCTTGTAAAAAAAAAATCTCCTGAGACCAGGTCCCTCCAGGTCCTTAGCGACAACAACACGTCAAAACAGAGACCTGCTAGCCACGCCGAACACCTCTCCCGCCGGCCCCGGCGTTTCCGCTCACAGCCCCAGCGACGGCCCCACGCATGCGCAAGGCGGCCCGGGCCCGCCGCCCGGAAGTCGCAGGTCGCCCCGCCCCTCCGGCTCTCCGCTCGGCCGGTCGTGGGGCCGCCGGGCGAGGAGGCGGGGCACGTCGGCCACCGCCCCTCCTCCGCCGCTGCCGCCGCCGCCGCCGCCGCGGCTTCCTGGGCTGAGTCCGCCCGCGGCCCCAGCGGCGCCAGGTGCGTTCGCCTCTCCGGACTCTTGCTTGCTCCTGGTCCCGTCGCCGCCGCCGCCGCTGCCGCCGAGATGGCGACGCGCTCCTGCCGGGAGAAGGCTCAGAAACTGAACGAGCAGCACCAGCTCATCCTGTCCAAACTGCTGAGGGAGGAGGACAACAAGTACTGCGCCGACTGCGAAGCCAAAGGTAGCGCGGACGCCGCCGCCGGCGCCTCTGCTGGGGCCTCCGGGCCGTGACCTTCGCGGCGCCCCGCCGCGGGCTGAAGGGGAGGCGGGGGCGGGGTCAGGACCCGGCTCCACCCGACCCAGCTGGGCCGGGACTGCGCCCACCGCTGCCGCTCTTGGCTTTCCCTTGCGCTGGAGGGCGGCCCTCTTGCGTGGCCCACCGCGTTCTCTGAGGGTGAGGCCGCCAGTGGCCGGGGTGCAGCCCCCATCCTCCCGGGGAACCGCGCCGTCCCCTTCCGGGCAGCTCCGCCTGCCTGCCCACCTGACAGCTTTGCACAAGCTCGGGCTTCTGTACGCGAAAGGGAGTAGGATAGTCCATTTTTTGGTGGGTTTCTGAATAGAATAGTTGCGGAAAGGTCCTTAGCAGTCGAGGTAATAGCATGGCTTTTGTAGCCTGGTTGTTGACTAGAATGAAGAGAGATTTCATTACTTGCGTCTCTGTTCCTGAAGGTGTTGATGTTAGATTCTTAGAACAGCTGTTTTGGGAGCCTATGTTTTGGGAGACACTGTTTTGTCTGCCTCATAGACGCAGGAGGTGCATTGTAAAGATGGACAGATGAAAAGATCTAATTTTATTTTGTTCAGTCGGAGGGCTTCTGCCTAAGCCTTTGGAAGAGATACACTATTTTTAGCTGAGATGTTTTGTTTGGAGATCCTGATTGATATTTAATGTCTTCTAAGTAAACTCATGGGGGGAAAATGTTTCAGATTTTTAAAAGCAAACCTCATGTAATTAGGTAAAGCGCTCACTTAGTTGTAAATTGGTTTATTTGATTTTTCGTTGCGAAATCTGTAGTTCTTCAAAGCAGGAGAGAGTCTTTGGGCATGTTTTTCAAGATTTTCTTCATTATGTGGCCGGAATTTCTGAAGCATTACTGTTCTTTAATACAGTAAATGAGTCATGCACGTTTCAGTTGGCTTATAATATTTGAATAGACGGAACCACATAGCACTGTCAGATTACTTCACCTTTAGAACAGGTGCTAGCTTACTGGACCTATAGGAATAGTGTAACTGCATCATTTTATGGAGCACTTTTCAGTATCATAGTAATTTGATTGTGTAAACTTCATATTTATGCTGTGTAACCTTTAAAACTATGCCTGATTCTTGTAATATTTACTTGCCCCATACTTGGTTGTGTGTGGTCATCTGGTAATATTGTACTGTCTTGAGATTCAATTGCTTGCTTATCACTATGCTAGTAAAACACTAAAAGATGAGTCTTTCAAAGGTTAGAGCTGGGGTGGAGAGTCACGTGTCATTTTGAGTAATAAAATGGCTCAGTAGAGATGCTTGTAAATATTACCTCTATTCATTAAAAATCAAATAATAGTTTCAGTGATTACCATTATATGTGGAAATAATTTAAAATTGTGTTCAAATTTCTTCTCTAAAAAATCCACTTTATAAAATCAGATTTTCAGGGCTGGGGATTTAGCTCAGCGGCATAAGCGCCTGCCTTGCAAGCAGGCGGTCGTGAGTTCGATCCTCGATACCGTTAAAAAGGAAAAAGACCAAAAAAAAAAAAAAAATCAGATTTTCACTGGGTATATTCATAAAATAATTTAAAAGCCTTTATTATGTTAACATTATTTTCATTTACTGGTTTTTGGATGGAGAGAGGAGATTCTAGCCCTTCTTAAATTAGAAAAGTTTTACTTTTCACCTGAAAAGTGGAGCGCATTTATGTTTTTTACTCACGATTTTTATTACCTCTGAAGTCAATAGATGTCTTTTTTTAAACATTTGGCATTGTCTTTTGTTTGTTAGTTTCGTTTTTTGAGAAGTGGAGGAAGTGAGAGACAGAATAGTAACAAAAGTTCAAAGATGCAAATTGAAGGGCATAAGCTCTGCAGATTGGTTTAGATTTTTTTTTCTTATATAAAGATTTAAAACGATCTTGTGAATGATTTGATCTAGGAAATTGACTTATCTTGATCACTCAAGAAAAATTTCTTGGATAGGGCCACTTACTGATTTAATTAGATTGATTTTATAGTTTTAGTTGTGTTGGTAATTGACACTTTTTTTAAAAATCTTTTTCTTTTTCTCGGTATGGGGGATTGAACTCATGATCACACACTTGCAAGGCAGGCGCTTATGCCACTGAGCTAAATCCCCAACCCCTAATGGACACATTTAAATATAATTTTGCAGCGGTTCAGTTGAGCTCCTTTGGACCCTGTTGATAGTAGAATTCTTAGCTTATTGTGTATGAGTTGGAATCTATTATATATGTCAGATAACAGTAAATGTAGATAGTGGAAATTCTGATTATGCTTTTAAAACACATGTAAAAGATCTTATTTTATAGTTTAGTTATTAAGAAGCTCTGTTCACTATATGTGTTGTTTTTCTCACTGTCTAATAAATTGCACCAAGCTTTTTGTGCATCTTGAAGCTCTTTGCTAGTTTACTCAAATTTCCTTGGTGTACTCAAGCTAAAGCCTAGGATTTGAGATTGCCTAGTTACCTTATGATAGTTGCAGAGGTATGTAAATTGACTTTTTCCTGAGTCACCAGTTTGTTTCCTGTATGAACAGTACCTAGGCAGGAAAGAGAAAAGGATGGCATAGGTGCCAGTTTCCTGCTCTTGATCTGCGTTCACCAAATATGTTCAGGAACTGGCAGATGGAACTGTTAGCACTTCTTCGCTGGCTACTAGGATGATTCTGTGGGAGTTGTAAAGCAGCTCTGTTGGCCATTAGTTGGTGGCAGTATTGAACAGTGGGGATCGAGAGACCCCTTTCCTTACTTAAAAGTTTTAATTTAAATTTCAGAATTTGAAGCTTCATCTATAAGTAATAGCAGCCTTGGTTTTGAAATACTGTGTATATAAACTGGCATGAAAGCGAGTCTTTGGCCTGTAATGATTGAAGTAGTCAGAATCTTGCCCATAGTAGAGATCATTTTGTTTCAGTCTGGCATTGAGAGGTAAAGCTCCTTGTTCACACTAAGCTCCTGAAGAAACACTCATGTCTTCATTCCTCAGATTTTTACTTGAAGACATACTGTTTGGTAAGTGCTGTCTTAGGATATGGAGTGAGCATTTGTTAAGAAATAAAAGAGTTGATTTGGTGAGGACTGTGCAGCAAATGAATCAGTCTCAAAACATGTTCTAAGCGCTGTAAAAGTGGTTTTAAGAAGTACCTCCTTTTCTGTTTATTGCTGGCTGGCTTCCTGCACTGTGATCTCTGCCCTCTGGTTGTTTTTACAGAATCTAGAACCTGCCTTAAGGCCTTTGCACATGCCATTCCTTCTGCCTGTGAAGCTAACAATATTTTTTGCCTTATTGCCTTACTAATTTGCTTAAAATTTCTTCTCAAAGGATATAATTCTCCTTGATCTGCTCAGATTAGTCGAGGCTTACATTATACACGTTAACACATCATCCTGAATCTTTTATTGCATTTATTCCAGTTATAATTAAACATTATTGAAGTAATTATTGGTTACTCCATTACCCTATTGGATTATCCCTGCAAGAAAGAAGAGATTTGTTTTGTCTTGTTTGAGATAATTTCCCCAGGCCTCAGCCCAAGTGCATGACATGTGGTAAGTAAATGTTAACTCAGCAAATACCTTGAAGGGGTGACTGGGTGAAGTGAAGATGCACAGAGCCAGAAGTAGGCAGCAGCGTGTGAAAGGAGTGGTATTTGGAGTACCTGTAGGAGCCACCAAAGGAGACTGCTGTTAGCTGGGTTCTGAAGATGCAAGGGATTTCTCTAGATGGGAAAGGAATTTAAAAACTGGCAGTGCACACAAAGGTACAGGTGTATAAAGGATAGAAGAGTTTAGCATAAGGCCTTTTTTTTTGTAAATTGTTTCTAAATTTGATCATATTTGGTAATAAGTCAGAAGATGGTGAGAGATTGTAAAGAAGTTGTAGAGTGAGGAGATTCTTAACAAGGAAGAGCATAAGAAGAGTCTAAGCACATGTAATGTGAATGAATCAAAGAGGATAAAGCATGAAACAGATATACTGTACGTATTTTTTTTTAGCTAAAAGCATTTTAAGGAATCAGGTACAGCACTTAAAACCATAGCTGGGCTGGGGATTTAGCTCAGCGGCATAAGCACCTGCCTAGCAAGTGTGAGCTCCTCAGTTCAATTCCTGGTGCAAAAAAAACCCAAAAACCAAACAAACAAACCACAAAACAGTAGTTGGAGGAGGGAAAAGCAGGAGCCTTCTCTTTTCGAGATCACGTATACTGCCACTTCAGCCATTGCCCCACTGTCATGGCTCCTTCTTACCCAAAAAACTGGTGCGCTGATTGGAGACAGATTGTGGTTGCTGCAGCCCGCCTTGACAGTTAGACATTTTTGTTAGGTTTCTGTACTGTAGGAATATGGCCTGTGCCATACTTGTGGTTTCCACTTGCAAATAATTGGCAGACCCTTGTCTTCCAGAGAATCTTACCTCTAACTTCTTCAAAAAGTAGAAATGGGAAGAGCCAGTTAGGGTATGAAAGGCAGACTTGGAGTCTGTTATAGCTAGTGAGGATAGAGAATGTTTGTCATTGCATTTGTTATTTTAGAGTTGTTATGTAAGTGTATTACTAAAAGGTAGAGATTGCTTTGAGAAACTGGTGTTTATGATGTTTATGCTTGCAGAATACATTTATGTAAACAAAGTTTGTGATTATAACTGGATCTAAAGAAACTTGTCTATCTTAAGTTTTCTCAAAATATAAACTTAAGTTTTGTGGATCTGTTGTTCATGTAATTCTGATGATTTTGAGGTTTTCCTTGATGGTTGTGTTTAGAGCCCTGATGTCAAAGCTAGGATGGAAACTATTTACTCATATTTTAAGACTTGGGCTGCAAGTCGTCCCTTTCCTTTTACTTTTTTTTAAGATTACAGTATTATTATGTACTACTTGACTTCATTCTTGTAGGCTGTATGTATGTACATACTCATCTCTTACATTGTTTCCCACAATAGTTGTATGTATATCT